TAGATGTATTAATAGTAATATCAGAAATCAGAGACAGCTGATCTTACTCCCTAAGATAATCACCAGACATCAGCGAGATAATAAGCCTTTTGATGCATCCCTGATATCAAACACAAAGATGCAATTACAGGTGACTACTAGAAGACTAAGAAGGTAGCTGAGGACTGGGCTGCTCTAAAGCTCAGGGCCAGCCCCCTCTGAATGAGTTGCATGTGTCAAGGATAAACGGCCCTTAACGGCTCTATAAGCAGCTACTAACCCAGATCCCTATTAACAAAAACCCCTAACTTTTCCAAGACAGAAAATTCATGGAAAGTAGACATATTAAAAAAACTGTTAATATCACATAAAAATATGCTTGTAGGTATTTTAACTAGAGGACTTTCTTGTTAAAATTTCATGGTGCGGCCCTCCCTGGTGGCGCAGCGGGTTAAAGCACAGCACTGAGAATCTAAAAGCCGCTTCCGCATGAGTTCGATTCCCGCTTGCCCCGGAGGTGACCACATGGCGCGGCAGACCTCTCCTGACCCGCCCGCTGCTCCCCTCAGCAGTGTACTTCGTCGATCTGCCTGTTCTGCTCCCTGCTCTGTCTCTGGTGAATCCTCTCACCCTCCGCATCTCTGGCCTGTACCCCAGTTCTGTATGAATAAATAAATAAATCTTAAAAAAAAAAAAAAAATTTCATGGTGCAACTGGCTTTAATCCCTCCTCCAAAACGGACATAGAAGGGAATTCCTGGGATCCTCAATTTGGACACTAGATGGCGCCAAATTCTCACTTCAATTGGCTCCTCTGGGTTCCTAGGGCCTCAGGTGAGGTTACCCCCAGCTGGAAGTTCAAGGGCTTGAGCAACTTCAGGTTTGCTATCTGTGCTTCCAGGTATCTTCTAAAAGACAAACTTCGGGTGAGATTATACAGGAGATCAGCACACCTGACAGCTATTTGTGCCTTACCCCCATAAGAGAGGAAACGTATCTGGTACTCAGGGTGTTATGGGCACACCCGTAGGAGCTGGAAATGCAGAAAGTCACCTTCCCCCACCACACACACACACACACACACCCCACGCCAGGGATTTTCCCACCCTCTATTTTTTTGTCTCTGGTTTCCTGATGCCTACAGAAAACTGCCCCCAAAATCCTGTCTAATAAAGTGAAGGAAAGTTGGAGCTAGAAGAGAATGGGAAGTGACTTTACACCCCCTCCCCACTTTATAGCAGGACAGACAGAAGCCCAGAGAGAAAGGCAATGACTTATCCACGCAGGTGGGCAGCTTCCTAGTCTCAGGTCCTTTTCCACCTGCCTGCTGCTGCCCTGACCATCCCATTCTCTCCCACCCACCCTCCCACCCCAAGCAAAGCAAGCCAGGACCTTGTAAGCCCACAAAAGAAGTCTACAGACCTGGGTTTCCAAGAGTGTGGGACGCTAGGCACCCCAACAGAGGGCAGCTACGCCCAGTTGGTAACATGCATTTCAACAGAACATTACCAGGTGTTTGAACACCACGCGGCTGTGCTTCCCCCACAGACCATTGCCCAACAGATGCTGCTGCCACAGATTCTGACCACAAGCTCAGCTGGTCAAGTGCTACTTCCTTCCTCCTGGGTTCCCCACTCCCCCGAGAATTCACTGGATAATTCAACTTTTCTAATTGAATTTTTATAATAAAACTTTGAAAGGAGAACGAAGTGTTCAAAATAATTTTTTTAAATACACAAATAGGCCCTCCCTGGTGGCGCAGCGGGTTAAAGTACAGCAATAAGAAGCTAAAGCCACGTCAGCATGAGCTGGATCCCCACCCCGGAGGTGACCACACATGGCAAGGCAGACCTCTCCTGGCCCGCCCGCTGCTCCCCTCAGCAGTGGACTTTGTCGATCTGCCTGTTCTGCTCCCTGCTCTGTCTCTGGTGAAGCCTCTCACCACCCCTGCACCTGTACCCCAGTTCTGTATGCATAATCTTTTTTTTTTTTTTAATGCACAAACAGCCCTCACTTGGCCTAATACACCTGAATTTTGATGATCTTCTAATCATTCCTGCTATCTTTTGGACACAACATATGATTATTTGCTGTGGCTTCTTATAATTTTAAGTGCAAGTTTACATGCTGTGTATTTTCTTCTGCAACTTGTGTTTTCCTACTCAGCATTGTAGTTGAAAGGATTCATCCACCCTGAATATATAAGATACTGATTTTATTCATTTTTGTTATTGAGTATCAATAACTTGTTAGCTGTTTCCAATTTTTAGTTAGCAATGTTGCTATGCCCATTGCTTATAAGGTTTCACCTCACTTTATGGCCATATGAAAGGTGGCCAGTGACTTGACATTGTGTGACCTTCATGGCCTTGAAGCTGAAGCGCAGCTGAGTCCAGGTGCTCAGACTATGCAGGTGCTCAAACCGCATCACGCTTTCTGCCTCTGTCTTCATTCTCAGTGGTCTCCCATGTGTGGCCCTTAGCAGCTCTTAGCAACAGCCTCGTAGACACACACACCCATTCCTGGGAGGTTCTCAACAGTGAATGGAGCTGATGGCAACGTGTTGGAGAAATGGGAGTCGGGATTTCTCATTGAGCAAACCTGAGCCATGTGCTCATCCCTGTTAGTCAAAGTCTAACTGAGCTGTGTCTGCTGAGCTCTCTCAAGAAAAAGACCTCATCCGCCACCTCAGCTCCTGGAGTGAAGGCAGCTCCATGCCTGGTTCTGAGTAAGTAACTGCTGTGGATGCCATCCCTTGACCACATCCAGACTGAGGAGGGGGCAGGGCCATGGCCCCTCTGCCCCTGTGGTTTTCCCTCCTCCCACCGTGCAGCCAATCAAACCCAGCCAGCCGGGCTGGCTCCACCGTCGCCTTCCTTTTTCTGAGTCACTGACTAGCATGCTCTGTTCAAGAGTGCCTTCAAGCAGCTTATTGAACATCTACTGGTGCTGTGTTATTTTTATGCAACAGGGTAAGACTGGCCAAGATAGGTACACGCCCAGCCTTCTGAGTGTATTGACGAGTCTGTATTTCAACAGGGTAGATTACACAGCATGTGAATTATACTCTACAGCTTTCTGTTGTTTTAAGAATGAAAGATCGCACATGGTTTGATTGCATCTATTATATGAAATTCAAAACCGGGCAAAAGGTTGTGTATAGTGATGGCATTAGAATGGTGGTTACCTTGGGAGGTTGTTGGTAGGAAGCCTCTGAGTGCCAGAAACGTGTATCTGGACCTGGTGGTTTGTATGTGGATGCAGTCTGGATGCAGATGTCCGTGTAGACACTGGAAAGCCGGTAAGTAGCCCTTCAATAGAAAACTCCAAAATTGCTAGGTGTGTTTATGTAAGCCAGCTCTAGAGCAGTGAACCTACTGCGCCGAGGGCAAAGCAGTGCATTCAGCACCTGTGGCTTCCTCTGTTCAGGGGCAGGGCAACTCCATTTCCTGGAGGTTCCCATGTCTCTTGAAGCATCCCTCCAGACTCCCTCTGCAAACCTGTCCTAACCAGCCCTGGCCAGTCCTGGCAGAACTGACCACCCCAGGCCTGTACCCTGCTCCATTGTGCCTGACTTTAGCACCTCTGGGTCCCCATGCCAGCTGCCAGTTCCTGAGCCTGTCACCAGCCCTGGGGCACAGGCCCATTGGAGAGAAGCATCCTGTTATGTACCTCTTGCACCCCTGGATGCTTAGCAAAATGTCTAGCTCTAGATTCAGTTGCTGTTCTTGGAGTGAACGAGCAAGCAGACACATGAACAAAACGGAATTATTTCGGGTAGGCTTTCTGTCTGCTTGGCCCACCCACAGTGCTTTATTTTCCCACTTGAATTTACATTTGAATCTTTCTCTGATCTTTGCAGGTATTTTCTACTACAGTAAATGAGACTCTATTATGTTATATCATAACCTGGGATTAAAAACTGCAGAAGTGATTCCAAGAGGAAGAGCAAAAGATGCCCGACACGGCCAAGCAGAGAAGGAACGTTTCTTTTCCTCCAAACATGGGAGTTTCCCTCCCCCAGAGGGAAAACTACTTAAAAGCATGTTTTCAGCTTTAAAATAGAATGCAAATTATTTTCCAGTACCTAAAAGGCCCAGTCCTCAAGCACCAACTGCTTTGGGGAAAAACGTCCAGATCAGAGCTGCATATGCTTGGGAACACGGCCTGTAGGCCTGGAACGATAGGGGTGGCTATTTCAGCCATGAGGGGCCCTCCAGTCAGAAACGGGGGCAGGAAGCTACACATGCAGCCAGCTCTCTCTCTGCCTGGCAGGACTGGTGAGCACTCCTGCAGCATGGGGTTGACAAATGGAGCAGATCAGCGGAGCTTGCCTCATGCTGGGGCAGGTGGATGATGGTTACTGTTACGAGTGGGGTTGAGTTAGACCCTCAGCCCTGCCACTTCCTAACTAATGAACTTACCAGGTCCATCTGTGCCTCCAGAGCCTGTTAAAAGCAGGGAATGATACTCTTTTACTCAGGGAACATTAGAAGTGTAGGGGTCTAGGAAGTGCTTAGCATAAAGCCCGGCACAATGATACTCGATAAACAGCAGTTGTTATCAGGTGAGGGGTGGAGGCCACCCCCAGGGAGTAAAGGCAGCGCCCACCCAGGTTTGCACTAGGGCCAAAGGTGGCTAAGATGTCTCAGTTGATGGCTCTCACAGCGGGAAGCATGTTAGTCTTCAGGCTGGTGCCAGCCCTCCTCACACCCACATAATTTGAATCCTTGGGACTGGACAGGCATTTTTTTAAAGCTCCCAGGAGCTTTAGGGAATCGGGGTTGCAGCCCTCTACTGTGCTAAGAGCTGGAGTGAACCAACCAACAGACAAACCTGCTACAGTCAACAGTGTCCCCAGACCTGAGAGGGAAGCCAGCCTGGTTTCAGAACGGAAGAAAAGTTAACCTTGGAGTGGAAAACGTACCTACCTTTCCTCATGTGGAAAACTGTGCATTAATACAACACATCGTGACAACCAAGCTCTCAGAAAGCAGCCACTCTGGAAAAGTCGTAACAAAGCTCAAGTGTTTATTAAGAATTAAAAATACTGTAAATAAGCCATACAGTTCATTTCACAGTAAACTAAAATTCTTTTTTTCCCCTTTTCATTTTTTGTTTTTTTTTCTATTTTTCTTTTTGCTTTTTTGAAGGGCAAGACAGCCGTTAAAGAACAGTACAGCTCAAAGGGAAGGGGAGACAGAGGAACAAGGACGGAAAACACACGTTCCTCCTAGAACGGGGGTCCCCTTCATGGACATCACCAGACTGGCCGCCCCTCCCGGGGAGACACTGCCCTGGTGGCCAGCTCCCAGACACGCTTCCTGGGAGAGCCCAAGGACACCCCCGTGGGGAGGCCACACCGGCACTCCTCAGGGACGCCGCCAGGTATCTTAACACAGGTGGGCCGGGCGCTCTGCGGGCGGTGCACCTGCACGCTCAGACTCTGCAGTCACCTTTGCAGTCAGAGGATTCAGGGACGGGAGAGACACCCACGCCAGGGAGGCGACAGTCAGCAGCTGAGGGTGCGTCCCTCTCCCGATTCACAACTGACACCTGCCAGCGTTGGCCAGTTTAAAGTGGAAGACAAGGAGTGAGTGACGTCTCACGGAAACTTCGGCCCGAAGTAGTAAAAAAAAAAAAAAAAAAAAAAGACAAGAATTTCCCTTAAAGACAATCAGGCAGAAAAGCGCCTCCTCCCCTTTTCACTTGGGCCGGCAGGGTGAGGGGCTGCTCCCTCGGCCAGCGCCAGCCCGCCCTTCCCGGAGCACCGGGGAAGGGGCTGGGCATGCGGCACCGACCACAGCAGAAGCAGAAAACGTGAGAAACCAGCGAGTGTGGCAATCACGGTAATAAATTAACGGGGCACAAAAATACCAAGCGCCTGGTGTTCTGGTCCAGGAGGTGGCAGGGGCGAGGTGGGAGGGGAACATGGGAGAAAACAAACTTTTTTTGGTCGTGAGAAACTGGACTTACAATCCGTGCCCCAACAGCCTTTTAGACTTTTTCATGAATCTTTTCGACTTTCAAGAACAACCTATCCAGATCACTCCTCAGGTCATCTAGTAAACCCTTGGCCGACTCCAAGTTGTGCTCGTTGGTTTCTATTTTCACGGAGTACGCCACCAAACTGTCCACGGCAGTCCTGAGCATTCTCAAGTCCGATTCCACTTGGCTGACTGAGGATTTCAGGTTGTCCAGAGAAGACAGTCTATCCAGCAAATCCTGGGGCGGCATGTGGGCCGCGGGGGCCCGGTCCTGGCCCAGCAGCGTGTGGACTTGCTCTTGCACCTTCTGGAGCGCCTCCACGGTGCTGGGGAGCTCGCCCACGCTCCTCTTCAGCTCCTCCACGTCGCTGTACAGCGAGAGCTGGGCCTCGCCCAGGCTCCTCACCGTGCTGGCCAGGCCGCCCTTGTCGGCCTCCGAGGGGGCGCCCAGGCCTTCCAGGTGCTCCTGCAGGGCCGCCAGGCGCCGCTCCTGCTCCTCGCTCTTGGCCAGGAGGGACTCCAGGCTCTGCATCTGCTGGGCAGAGGCCGACTGCGCAGCCTGGACTCCGCCCTCCACACGCTGCAGCCTGGAGTCCAGCCCACGATTCTCTTCCTCGAGCGCTTCTAAGGCACCGGGCTGCTGGGCCTGGGTTCTCAGCTGGTGCAGCTCCTCCTCCAGCCGCTGCATGCCCGCAGGCAGGCGGCCGCTGGACTCCTCGCACCGGAGCACCTTCTCCGTGAGAGCCTGCAGGGTGAGGTGCTCCGAATCGGCCGCCTCCTTGAACTTCTGCTGCTCCTGCTTCAGGCTCACCAGCTCCTTGACCTCAGTGTAGACATCAGACTCCATGGACTGGAGGGTGCTTCTCAGGGCCGCGATGTCCACTTCACTGGACTTCACGGAGCTCTCTATTCCCGCCACAACTTCCTTCAAGGCCCTCACATCTTGCTTGTACCCCTCCAATTCTCCCAGAGCGGCAACCTTCGCCTTCACCTCGTTTATTTCCTTCTGGCTCCTCTTTTGGACCTCGGTGAAGATGGCGATGTTGTCGTTGATGGACTTGGTGAGCTCCGTCAGCCGTTCCTCCACCGTGTTCTCAAGGGACGTGAAATCCCGCTCCCGGGCATCCTTCACCACGTGGATCCCATCCGAGAGGTCTTTGAGGATCTCATTTTGGAGTTTTTGCAGAACTTCACTGATCCGGTTAATCTCACTCTCCCCTTGCTTCACAGCTTTCTCTGTGAGATCTTGTTTGTGTTGGGAGCTCCTCAAGCTGGCTTGCAGAGACTGCACCTGTAACCAAAGTCCAGATGTTAACAGCGGAGAAGAGCTGACGAGTTTTGTGTCTGTGGCTATCTTTCCTTTTGCCTGCCCAGCTTCCAGGCCCTTCCTCTTCTAGAATGACACCATGTTGCTGCAGAGAACCATCCTTCCACGCACAGTCTGTGTGACTGGGGGCCTAACCTGGGCCTGGCACCAGTGTTCCAGGGGTAGTCTGGGCAGCCAGCACTTGGCATCCACCCCACTGCCATCCCTGTGCCACAGTGAGTGACCCACAAATGGGCACGTGGCCTACGGCAGGCCAGCTCCTCAATCCCAAGACTTCTGTTAAAGGCAGGAAAGGAAACATTCTTTTCAGCTGGGAGTGCAAGCTCTTAGGATGAGGGAAGCCTGGAGACACTCTGCCCACAGGAGAAGAACTCAGCCTGAGAAGCCAGCACAGAGGGAAAAACTGAGTGATGGCGACGCCAAGTTCCAAAGATATCATTTCAGTCCCTGGCTATAGCTATGCCTGAAGGAATCTGTTCTTGGCCTTTTTTAGTTTAAGACAATAAATTCTCCCCCCACCCCCCGTCCCCTCCATTCTAAGCCAGGCTAAGCTGAGTTTCTAGCTCTTGAAACTGAGTTTCACAAGTTCTCGCAGGAAGACAGCTGAGGTACATGGGAGACACAGGGCTGGAGGGCAAGAGTCCAGGTCTCTGCTCCACACTTCAAGCTGTGTGGCCTGACACAGGTAACTGTCCTCACCTGGAAAGTGTGCTCGTGGACCAGGTGATCCCTTAGCAACCACTGGCTGTGTGAAGGATTCTCTTTTCCACTCTACAGTCATTCTTAATAAATTCTACCCTACACAAGGTCTCACCTGGAAAGTGCCCCAGGGAGCTGGTTTAATGTATGAAAAGACTGGTGACGGTGTAATGACTAATGTCCTGGGCTTTAGCCTGGTTTCATAAAAAAAAAAAAAAAAAAAAAAAAAACACTGAATGTTTAGTGTCTGGCTCTAATCACTAATTCACAGAACACAGGAGGCAAGAGACAAACATGCACAGCCACAATGCAGAAACTTCTGCAGGACTGAAAATTGAATCTTCAAGGATTAAATAGCATTTTAAACGGAGAAAGCTGTGAGAACTGAGTCAACATGTGTGAAGTGTGGACACTGCCTGGCCCACAGCAAGCACTTAGAAAGAAGCCAGCATCTTCATTACTGTCCACTGTTTCTTCTGAGGTAGCCAAGAATCTGGGTTTGACTGACCATTCTCAGCCCAAGGCCAAAGGGAAATAGGACAGGACTGTCTGACAGGATGCCTGGACTCGGTTCTGGTCCCACCTGTCACCAGTTCTGGGACAGAAGACAGTCGCATCGCTCTTCAAGTCTCAAGTTCCTCTTCTCTTAGCCAACAGGCTTTTAAAGTCCCTCTGACTCCTCTAGTCTGACTTTGAGACAGATTCAACTACGAGGACCAGGGACTCCAGAATACGAGGCAACATTAGATGGTTCCCTGCCCAACCAACTCTAACTTGGGCCACAGAGAACACTGAGGAGGTCCTGGCGAGAGCTCACCTCAGAAACCAGCTTATCCAGTCACAGGACCTGCCTGTTCTAAGCACCAGAATGGAGGTGTGAGCAAGTGAACCTGCAACATGGCAGAAAGTTACTGTATTTTCTGAACGAATCAACTGAATGAGATAACAGCAAAGCTGAGGAAGACAGAGCCCGTCTGCTTCCCCTCCCATCTTTGTTACACCTAACCTGGGTGGCCTTACAAGGAGGGCCTTTATCTGTTAGAAATAAATCTAGGGAAGCCCATGGGGATTACAACTGAGATGGAAAAAATGCGCAAAATGAAGAATGATGTAAAAATATATATATGTATTATAAAAAAAAAAATGTTGTAGAAGTCCTTTCAGATTCCGAGGTCACGCTCCACTAGATCTGCCAGGGCAGTCAGGGCCCTGCAGCCACAAAGAAGGGAGGAGCTGGAGCAGGAAGCAGAGAATGTGGCCCCATTTCTTCAGCCTCCAAGACTACCCAATGGACCTCGATTTCTAGCCCCACCACCTAAATCTCACTCAGTACGGGCAGACTGGTCACCCGCTGTCCCTCAAACATGTTTAAGCTTCAGGAGTGTCCCCATGCATCACCACCTCACTGGGTGCCCTGCCTGCGCTCTGGGCCCAGCTAACTCCACATCCTGTGTGCCCCGCCAGGGCCGCAACCCTCAACCGCCAGCTACTCATCTGCTGCTTCACCAACACAGTCGAGTCTCCTGCTGCTCCATGCTCTCCGCAAGCGGGGGCGCACGCGATCAAACTCCCACAAATATTACCATGGATTAAAGTGGGTGGATGAGAGAGAGGAAACCAGCGGCTAGTGATTACGCTCCAGCAGCATGTCTTTTTTCTCAGACTGATGTGACATTCAGGAGAGAGGCAAAGCAACACGGCCTGCTTAATTTCCTCAGCAAATCACCTCCCTTGGCCTGCAGCATGGAAGGGGCTGACTCATCCCAGTGGCTCTGCCAGTCTGGAGAGGAAATTCCTAGCCCTGCACACTCAACAAAAGTAGAGAGTAACTTGGCAGGCCAGGCAGCATGCTGGGAAAAGGAGGCAGCAGTTCCGGGCTCAGAACTGGTGGCGGGATTTTTTGTTTCAATCAGGGAACCAGCTTCCATTGAGCAGTGGCATCCGTGGAGGCGAGGGGCAGGAATGAGACGGCACAGCTGCCTTGCACGTGCAAAAACACGGACAAGTGGGGGTGGTTTTGCAAGTTAGGTCCATCCACACCTGAAACTGGACTTGGTGGACTCAACTGAGCAGTGGCCCACAGAGTGCCACGCAGCCAGCTGGGTAGGGGCTTTATCTATTCACTGCTCTAGCTAAACCTCAATATTCTGACCTGAAAAATGGAGTCAGAGCTGCCAATGGGCTGTCCTTCGCGGGGTTACTATGGGGACCAGATAAGCGAATAAGCTCTCAAACCCCGCGTACCTGCCGGTGGTGCTCCTTACCAGCAGGAGCTAGGATTGTCATCCCTTCCTGTAACGCTGAACGCTGAAGGAGCTACCCACAGGCCCACAAGGAGAGCCGGTCCTGGAAAGGGCCGGGGCCTAGAGGTAGGTGATGTCTCCAATGAACCCGTCAAATGAATACGAGGACTAGCGCTGCCTTCCCCGGGCTCTGGTCTATTAAAAACGGGCTCGGGAGTCTCCCGCTGGGGGAGCTGAGGTGAGGCCTTGCCGGAGGCTTCCAGGGATGCGCTGGCGGCCCTGCCAACCTCCGTTGCAGCCAACTCTGTCCATCCAGCGCTTCCTAATCCACAAAGAATGCTTGCCCCGGCTGCGGGCTGCCGTACAGGTCACCGCTAACGTCCGGTGACGGCCCCCTCCCATCCCCGCTGGCCAGACCGTGTCTCGGGGGTCCATCCCTGGGGCCCACTCCTCCGCGGCCACTAACAAAGGGGGTCTGGGGACAGCCTGGGACCTGGGGGGCAGGGTGGGGACATCGCGGGGCAGGGTGGAGACATCGCGGGCCAGGGGCCTGGCGGTGGATGTCGGGTCGCGGCCAGGGGTGGGGGTGGGGACGGGGATGAACGCGGCGGGGGCCCGGGGGGACCCACCTTCTGCTCGACGCCCTGCAAGCCTTGGCCCAGCTCCTCCCGCTGCCGGGAGAAGTCCTGGTGGCTGCGCCGGACCTGCTGGACCTCCTCCAGGACGTGGTGGACGCACCAGCCCGAGAAGGCGGCCGCCGCCACCAGGGCGAGGTAGAAGAGAAAGTTGAGCGCCCGGCCGAGCCGG